TTTTAATAACAAGTTAAACAAGAGGCCCTTGGGCCTTATAGGTCACCTGAGTATCATGCAACAACTTTCACGTGATTGAATTCGGTTTTCATATTTTAAGCCAGATGCTATGGCATTCACAATTTTGAAAGAGGCACCATTGCTAATCATAACTATATACTTAACAATTGCTTAGTTTGGTTACTTAATACCCATAGGGAAGGTAGGGGAAAAAAATTGCATTTCAACCAATCAGTAATTCAGCAATAATCAGTAGTGCCCCTATGAACCCCTGACCCTAGGTCCACACATTGCACAATTTTTGAAAAGGCACCCTTGCTTATCAAAAATATTTGATTAATACAAACTAACAGATTTCAAACAATTCATTTTCAGTATATTAGAGTAGAAGCCCCCCCCCCCCTCTATGGTACCCCTAACCATTGAAATTCACAATTCTGGAAGAAGGGCTCTTGCTCATCATAACTATATAAGTAGTTCATCTGCTTAATAACCTGGAGCAGAGAAGGACATTTTCAAAGAATTCATGTACATGTGTTTTCACTATATAATCAATTGAGCCCCACCCTAACATCAGAATTCCTAACCCTGGGGCCTTAAAATTCACAATTCTGGAAGAGGCCCTTTTGGTCATCATAACTATGTACTTAATTAATATATTTAATACCCAGGAGCAGAGAAGAAAATTTTCAAAGAATTCATGTATTTTCACTATATAATTCATAGAGAGACCCACCCTAACACCAGAACCCCTGACCCTGGGGCCATAAAATTCACAGTTTTGGTAGAGGCACTCTTGCTCATCATAACTATGTGCTTAATTAGTTTATTTAATACCCAGGAGCAGAGAGGAAGATTTTCAAAGAATTCATGTATTTTCACTATATAATCAATAGAGAGCCCCGCCCTTACACCTGAACTCCTGACCCTGGGGCCATAAAATTCACAATTTTGGTAGAGGCACTCTTGCTCATCATAACTATGTATTTAGTTAGTTTATTTATTACCTAGGAGCAGAGAAGAAGATTTTCAAAGAAATAATGCATTTTCACTATATACTCGTTATAGCCCCACCCTAGCACTAGAACCCCTGCCCCTGGGGCCATGAATTTCACAATTTTGGTAGAGGACTCAATGCTGATTACAATCATGCAAACAGTTTGACTGCTTGATGTCCAGGAGTAAAGAAGAAGATATTTTAAAATTGCACTAATTTTAGTGGTTTCGGCCCCACCCCTCAGGCCCCAGGGGGGCAGGGGTCATGAAATTCACAATTTTTGTTCCCTTTACCCATAGATGCTTTGTATGAAATTTGGTTGAAATTGGTTCAGTGGTTGCAGAGAAGAAGCTAAAAATGTTCAAAAGTTTACGACCGACGTACGACTGACGACGACGGACGAAAAGAGATAGCAATAGGTCACCTGAGTTTACTCAGGTGACCTAATAAAAGTTAATATAAATATTCTGGCAAGTTCTATAACTTTATTTTACACAAATCCAACACTATTACAATAGATATGATGAGGAATGATGCCTCTTTGAGATTTGTGAATTTCAGGGTCCCTGGATCAAGGGTTCTAGTGTTCGGGCGGGGCTCTAAAGTTTATATAGAGAAAATTCATGAATTCTTTGAAAATCTTTTCCATTGCTCCTGGGTATTATGCCAATGATTTAAGTACATATTTATGATGAAGAAAGCTGCTTCTTCCAAAATGATTAATTTCAGGGACCTTGGGTCAGGAGTACTTGGACGGGGGTTTCATAGTCTGAAAATAAATCAATGGATTGAAATGTTTGGTATCTTTGAAATCTTTGGTATTAATCCACAATTTATAATGAATTACATTTATTATAAAATTTCTAAAATTTTGAAAGATGTAGCCCTAGGGCATGTTGTTCCTGTGGGACGGAATGCATAGCTGGTTATAAAATGGAAATGCATTTTCTTTTTGTTCATCTGATCGACCTCTGGGTATTATGTAACCAAAGTAAGCGTGCTAAAAAGCAATGGTCTCTTTCAAAATTGTGAATTCCATTGCCTCTGTTTTAAAACACATATTCAATTGTTGGAAAGTTGTTACATGATACTCATGTGACATATAAGGCCCATGGGCCTTTTATTACATTTCTACTACATTTCTAGCGATAACACCTTTGAAAAGATTTAGGAAACTTTAACTTCAAAATCCCTTAGGATTTTACATAATTCAACCTTCCCATACCTTAATTAAGATTTAGGAAATTTCAATTTTAAAATCCCTTAGGAGTTTGCATTATTTAATCCTTCCCAAACCTAAAACCTTTTTCTGTAGCATTAAAATTTCCATGCTAAAAATACTTTTAACAAAAGTCAATACAATTCTTCATTTCATTCATTTAAAATTATTTTTTAAAAGAAAAAAACTGGTAAATACACTGTTTATGTAACAGTTTTCAATTCTGCAGAAGTTCGTGGAACCAATATAATTATTAATTACATTCGTTGAAGGCTCACAATCAACTAATAAGGCGAAGGCTGTGTTGATTTTTTAGCTCTACTGGTCAAAGACCAGAAGAGCTTATGCGATAGTAATGCGTCCGTCGTCCGTCTGTCTGTAAACATTTTTTTCAAAATGCTACTCCTCCTACAGTTTTGGTCCGATTTCAATATAACTTGGCACACAAGTAGACTACACTAAGATACATAATTTTGTGCATCAGTTTTTGATTTCGATGAACGGTGTTGCCGTGGTTACTAAAAATAGAAATTTCTGTGAAATTCTTTCAAAATGCTACTCCTCCTACAGTTTTGGTCTGATTTCAATATAACTTGGCACAAAAGTAGACTACACTAAGATACATAATTCTGTGCATCGGTTTTTGATTTCGATGAACGGTGTTGCCGTGGTTACTAAAAATAGAAATTTCTTTGAAATTCTTTCAAAATGCTACTCCTCCTACAGTTTTGGTCCAATTTCAATATTACTTGGCACAGAAGTAGACTACACTAAAATACATAATTCTGTGCATCGGTTTTTGATTTCGATAAACGGTGTTGCCGTGGTTACTAAAAATAGAAATTTCTTTGAAAATCTTTCAAAATGCTACTCCTCCTACAGATCAGTATAACATGGCACACAAGTAGACTACACTAAGATACATAATTCTGTGCATCGGTTTTTGATTTCGATAAACGGTGTTGCCGTGGTTACTAAAAATAGAAATTTCTGTGAAATTCTTTCAAAATGCTACTCCTCCTACAGTTTTGGTCCAATTTCATTATAACTTGGCACACAAGTAGACTACACTAAGATACATAATTCTGTGCATCGGTTTTTGATTTCGATGAACGGTGTTGCCTTGGTTACTAAAAATAGAAATTTCTGTGAAATTCTTTCAAAATGCTACTCCTCCTACAGTTTTGGTCTGATTTCAGTATAACATGGCACGCAAGTAGACTACACTAAGATACATAATTCTGTGCATTGGTTTTTATTTTGATGAGTGGCAAGGATCATTTTTCTATTTATTGCTGATTTAAAGTCTCAAGTCCCAACTGCTACTTTTCTCTTCCTTTGTTTTAAGTATAAACCAGTAGAGCTACAGTCTCGACAGAGACTTCTGGTTTTGTGTTTGTCGTTTTATACCATACTCCTTCTTTTCAAGGATTTATAATGGAAGCAAGTAAAATTTACACCTCTATTGGACTATATTGGACTCATCTATTTATATTTGCCTTCATTCTCGTAACAACAACAATGGCTTCAGGTAAAATATTCTTAGACATATAAAAAACATACAAACTCGTACTTGTGGCTTAAGCTGTACGCTATTATTGAATATGTATGTATTTAGCTTTGCCTTTTGCTTCAGGGAATGACAATGATATAGACAGAGACTTCCCACCCGATAAAAGGTACTTCAATTTATATATAACAATTCTCTTTTAAGACTTTTCCGATCTTCTATATCGTAAATTAGTTTTTTTTTTAACCCTTGCATCAATCTGAAAAAAAGATATATATTTTTAAAATTCCTCTCTCATTTTAAGTAGTCATTTACGTACCTCACAGGCTTTATACATGTATGGATGATTATTTTCGTGAAGGGCAGATGAAGTGACAAAACACGGAATTTTTCGCAATTCTGTAACTTTAATCTCAAGACGAATGCATGTTCAATCGATACTATGTAACTGACACAATTTTATGATTGTACTGAATGCTTATTATTTTCGTAATACATGTAGGATGATAATGTGATAAAACACTGTCACCATATTGCAAATCTCTACTGGTAATTTGCAGCAAATTGATTGGTGTTTAGAATTTACATCGCGATATCTATTATAAAAGCATCTTAGTTTACGTTTCTCTTTAAAGTTTTTATTTCTTAGACTATACTATACCTATGTTATTTTATTTTTTCTCTTCCAGATATGCTATGATGTCATATGGTTTTGGGTCACGTGGTAGACCCCGTCCTTCGTATCGCTACTCGGGAGGTCGACAAAGGTAATTCAGATCAGATTGGTTAATTTCTACCAAATGATTTTATGAATTATAGTCAAATTAAATTAATTTTACGGTAAACACTTTTTATATGCATCATATCCATTTGATACGTATGGGCCTATATGGTTGAGGGTTCAAAGTTAGTGATTTTCCTTTTTTTCTAATTTGCGCAATCAATGTATCATTTTTTAATCAACATGTATTTAATCTTGTTTTATTTATAATACATATATTGTGCATATGATGCATATAGTATTTACAGTGCACGTTTCTTTTCTTGGTTTGAGTGCTTATATATTTACACAAACGGTATGAAGTAAGATACCTAAGAGTTAAAATTGCGTCACATTGTAATTGTAATTATTAGTTAAGAAATCGAATGGTTGACATTGTTAACACTTTGGATCTCGATGTAGAAGGTAATGCTTAATAATCAATTCATAGAGCCCTTTCAGATTTGAAACATCAAAATGTGAAACTCATTATTGAGAGATACATTCAATTTTATTTAATTGTTGTTATGTAACTTTGAAGATGAATGCATTTTGCAAAAGATGCAAAGACTTTTTAAAATGAAATGCATATTAAGTTCTTTATGGAATTCAACTCAAAATCTCGATAGAATTATCAAATTAAAATATTCAAGTTTGTACAAGGTTATGCTGATAAGTTATGCAACATTTAGACAGTCATTAGCTCCTTATTCTAAGATAATACCTCTAGCATTTATTTCATTGCAAGACCGTTCACCTTTGTCAGAAAATGTTTAATTAATCAATAATGATTCAGGATCTTTAATTGCTGTTATTCTATACATTAAGCTAATTTCCGCTACAATGGTTAGATAATGTATTTTAATAGCATAATGTTTCGATTTTTACCGCTGCAGTATAATATTTTTCGTCTTGTAGGGTTTCCAGCTCATCGCGTCCTTGGGAACAACTTCCGGACTATAAATGCTACCGGAAGCGATGCGCCACTTCCTCTGACTGCTGTAGAAGGTATAATGTGTGCGACCCCCATGTGAAGGTCTGTTACGACTGCTGGTATGGTTACAGCTGCCAATCATCTAGCGATTGTTGTCAGAGATACCCTCACTGCCACCCAAGGAAGAAAATTTGCTATAACTGACTATTGCAATAAATATGTACTTTTAAAAGTCGTTCCTTTGTTTGCTCTTTAACATCAAAGTAGTTAATAATGACGATGATGAAATTGATTTAATTTTTCAACTCCTTTCAGCGTTGTAAATGTGTTTTTCTTTTCTAAAAGATCTTTTGCTTTGTCTAAGTCAAAGAAAAACATTTGATGTTTAATAGTTACGTAATGGCTAATTTGTCAGAAATTGTTAAGATCAGTTCAATTGTGAACTGTCACAAATTAGCCCAATTGCTTTTATAATAATAATATCAAGATTGGCATCTATTATTCTTTGCCTTATGTCAACTGGCATGATCAAGAAATCAATAAATTTCATAGAAAAAGCATTTATAAAGTATGAAGACATTTTTCAAAGAAATATCCGTGAGTGATAAAAATACGTGGCAAGTCATCAGAAAAGAAATAATGTGAATGTGCTTCATGAAATATGCCGCTGTTAGAGTTCATGTCCTCAAGAATTCTCAACAATTTTAATTTATTTTACAAGCGAGAACAAATATTATGGCAACGAAGTCAAAGTACAATTTTTATTAAGTAATAATCTCACTAAAAGAAAATGTCAATTAATAACTATTGTATATTTATTTAAATATACACATATGGGGTGAAAAGCTAATTTTTAGCTCTACTGGTCAGAGACCAGAAGAGCTTATGCGATAGTAATGCGTCCGGCGTCCGTCCGTAAACAATTTTTCAAAATGCTACTCCTCCTACAGTTTTGGTCTAATTTCAATATAACTTGGCACACAAGTAAACTACACTAAGATACATAATTCTGTGTATCGGTTTTTGATTTCGATGAACGGTGTTGCCGTGATTACTAAAAATAGAAATTTCTGTGAAATTCTTTCAAAATGCTACTCCTCCTACAGTTTTGGTCTGATTTCAGTATAACTTGGAACACAAGTAGACTACACTAAGATACATAATTCTGTGCATCGGTTTTTGATTTCGATAAACGGTGTTGCCTTGGTTACTAAAAATAGAAATTTTTGTGAAATTCTTTCAAAATGCTACTCCTCCTACAGTTTTGGTCTGATTTCAGTATAACTTGGCACGCAAGTAGACTATATTAAGATACATAATTCTATATATCGGTTTTTGATTTCGATGAACGGTGTTGCCTTGGTTACTAAAAATAGAAATATCTGTAAAATTGTTTCAAAATGCTACTCCTCCTACAGTTTTGGTCTTATTTCGATATAACTTGGCACACAAGTAGACTACACTAAGATACATAATTCTGTGTGTCGAATTTTAATTTTGATGAACGGTGTTGCCATGGTTACTAAAAATAGAAATGTCTGTAAAATTGCTTCAAAATGCTACTCCTCCTACAGTTTTGGTCTGATTTCAGTATAACTTGGCACACAAGTAGACTACACTAAGAACCTAAAGAGACTTTATCAACGATCATTTTTCTATTTAGTTTCAAATCCCAGCTGCTTAAGTACATGTACTTCTCTCTTCCTTTGCTATAAGTTCAAACCAGTAGAGCTTCAGTCTCGACAGAGACTTCTGGTTACTTTTAAAAAATGCTGACAAGAACAATTTGCTTCTTTTATTCCTGATGTAAATGGAAACAGAACACCCATTGTATGAAATGATATAGTGCAGCAGATATCGACATATTTAAAAGAAAACGAATACGGATACTTTCTCCTGCTGTTCGTAAACTAATTGCGGGATTTGAACTATTTCTTCGTGCCATAAGCCTATAATCAACTGTCAGTTAAAACTATAAGATACTAGTACTATTTTTGTCGGAATGCCTGTGTATGAAAATTTCACCCTTTGTGATTCTCAAAATTACTAAAGAATTATGAATTTAAAAGGGATTTTTAAAAGAGCAAAGGCAATTAAGGAATTTTTATAGCAACTGCAATTAATAACATTGGACTAAAGCTTAAAATATTTATATAAAATAAGGATGATTTTCTAGACAAACGGCAATCTTAAAGCTTTTAAAAAATACCCACGGATGTTCTCATCATAGTTCCTTTTGTTTTTTTGTGGAACATGGGCCTCGGCAACAGTTTTCCATCGCACTATGTTTTGAGAAGCCCTTTTCAAATGTCCCCAGCTATGTTCACACTGTCTGATTTCCTCTGCACTTGACATTTGCAAAGTTGTCCTGGGACACCAAACTCGACGTTTTCCTTGGGGTTCCACTCAAGTGCGTGGTGTGTAATGTCTCCCAAATAGTTCTACATATTAAGTTTAATCTTTTCCGTTCCAGTGTTTCTTAAGAAGATTTTTATGCGCCCGGATATATTCTGGACGCATATTGTTTTTGTCCTGTCTGTCTGTCTGTTGTCAACTTTAACCTTTGCCATTACTTTTAAACCATAAGAGGTAGAGAAGCCCTTTAACTGACACCAAGTTCAATTACCTTGTCACCCTGACTGTGACCTCGATGCTAAAAATAGCTTTTTCGACCCTTTGCCACAACTCTGGAACCATAGAAGATATAGACTTCATATTTGTTATGCTTACTCCACTAGTTAATTTCTTTCGGATGGCACCAAGGTCGATAACCTTGACCTTTATACCAAAAATAGTCTTTTTTTGGATCTTCTCCAGAACTTTTGAACCAAGAGAGATTGGGATTTCATATTTAGTATGTATACTCCACTAAATCTTTCAAATAACACCAAGGTCAATGAACTTGTGACCTGTGTACTAAAAATATATCTTTCGAACTTTGATGCCGCCGGGTGCATAGTGTTTCACAAACATATCTTGTTGCCTATACATATATGTATTTTAATGTTAAACTTAGATTCCTTTTGTGTCCCCACCCTAGCCCATGAGCCATCATTTTAATAATTTAGAATCTACACTACCCAAGCATGGTTTCATTTTTTTTCTGGCCCACTGATCCTTGACAAGATTTCCCCCCCTATATTTTGCAATTTTAAACTTTGTTTACCTATTGTTGCCCTTCCCTACCCCCGGGGGTTATGATTTTAATAATTTAGAATCTACACTACCAAAGGATGTTTCCGCATAAATCATTAGTTACATCTTTTTTTTAGTGACAGGGTAAGGGTGATACCTGGTTAGTAAATTTCATACCTGTCACTAAAAACCTATGTAACAAATTTACCCCACCGATGAAACATTTACGTATTATCTGTGGTTTTTAAATATTTTCTCTGCTAGCCTACATGCTTCGTCACGCTTATACTGTGACTATTATGACGTCACATTGTGTTAGTTACTGAGAACATCGACGCGTATTGACTGAGTATAAGTAATCCACCTCCTTCACGTGTACAGACTTCAACCAATCGTAAGCCAGGATTTCGTCGAACAATCAACAGAGGTGGGGTCTAGTTGTTCTTCTTCGTATACATATATTCAACGTAAAACTTGGATCCCCTATTGTTGCCTCACCGTTAGCTTCATTTGAACAAATCATACTCCCCTTCATCAAAGGATGATTTGTATTAATTTAAAGAATAACTGTCTCATTTTTCGATGTGATCAATCGAATGGCTTGCATGATACTTCGTATAAACGCCGAATGCATAAAATGTTCACACAAGCCAATCGATTGATCATCGTCATGAAATCGAAAAATCTTACAGTTCAATTATTCCTTGTATTTACATACTCTTGATTCCGCCAATCCACGTGCTACAAGTCCCGCTTCTGTCTCTCTATTTGTCTCGCCTAGCACGTGATTTTTTTAACCGCGCCTATCGATGAGGAAATAAAGTACATTAACTACATTTGATTTTGTCTCGGACAAATTTAAAGAAATTGGAAATGTAAATATTTTTATTTAAAATTGGCATATAATGGTTCCTGAGAAGAAGCTGAAAATGTGAGCGTTAACAAACGGACAGAGAGACGGAAAATGGGGAATCAGAAAGGTTCAATTGAGCTTTCGGCTCAGGTTAGCTTTAAAAGTAAAACCTCCAAAAAAAAAAAAATAAACAAATAACAAAAACAAAACTGTATTAGTTAACATTCGTTTTTATTTGTTCTTCAGTACGATTTCCTACGTTGTAACATAAAATAAATAATTGTGAATCAAAAAAACTGTTCAGAATTTTTTCTTCAAACACAGGTATTTCATAGATATTTGTCGTAATAAGTAAAACATTATGGAAACTGGAAATTCAAAGTTTACGACAAATAACTGTGGAGTGAGATAGTCTGACAATAAAATTTGAACAGGCTTTTTGATAATCTTTCGTTCACGCAGAGAGTAGTGACAAACACCATTCCAAGGCCTTCCTTCGTAACCTCCACTTCCTGAAGAACAAACACTACTTGTGCTTACCTGGTTCTAGCACTACCTTCTTCTTGACGTATTGTCGTCTTACTTCACAGTTCCCATTACTTATAAAAACACGCTTTCCTGTTTATTATCATTACCATAACAAAACTTCCTCTCGTCAAGAAAGAATTTCTTTCCCAGTTTCTGTGAAAATTAATTTTAAAGTAAATCTCGTAAAAACATAATTATTTTTCCTGAAAACTTACCTTTGAATCAAGCACGATGAAATATTCCAAGGACCACAAACACGTACCACCAACCACGGTGTATTTTATGTAACATCCGTGAAAAGGAGGTTGTACTGTGGTCCCTGGGTGATCCTCGCCGACCCCTAGCGCTGGAAAGCGACAGCGGGGTTGCTGTGGCAAGGGCCCAAGAACCGAGAACTGACCCTAGACGCGAAAATCCAGGGAGGTTACGAAGTAAGCGTTGCTCATGGTTTTTGTTATTGCTTTTTGCGTGAAAGGACCCAGCTCCAGTCCACCCCCATGTTGGAAAGTGGAAAGATCTGGGTAGCTGTCCCGCTAGTTCCGATACAACAACAACAGGCGCTCGTTTATATACCTGAGTACACGTCAATGCTTAAAATAGAAAATAGCTGACGAGGGCATTTAATTCGGGATATTTCTGTATTTATTGTGCACTCATGACTGGAGGAATGCTGACAGTGCACTGTGTAATCTGTATTTGTTCGTAATATAAGATATCGA